CACCTAACTACATGCCCCCTAGACCCTGTTTACTTACAACTACCACAGTCATCCTTTTGCTCTTTTCTATGCTTTCTAACTCAAATATTCAACCTCTCCCCCTTTATTGGCATCTTCCCCTACATTCTAATGCATGCACTAATTCCCCATATTTAAAAAGCCCTTGTTGGTCACCACCAGCCTGAACAACTTAAGACCATCTCCTTGCTCCCATTTACTTTTAAACTTTTAGAATACCTAGTCTACAACCTTCTGAGCCACTACCTTACTGAGAACAACCTTCTTAAGCCCTTACAATGACCATTGTTTCATACTCATACTATTATACCCTTTTCTTGCCTGTTATACAGTTGATCTCCTGCTCTTACCACAACAATTACACTCCATTGGCCTCCAAGACTCTGCTTTTATTGGGTTTTCCCCCTATCCAATAATTATTTAGTGTGGCCCACAACTCTTCTTCTCAACTTCCTCTTTCCACAGGTGTTCCCCAAGACTCTGTTCTCAGACCCCTTCTATTCTCCATTTACACCTCTTCCCTTTGTCATTTAATAACCTCCCATACCTACCAATACCCCTTTTTATGCTGATGTTACCATCTATCTCTCTTCTCTTCACCTCACCCCTTCAGTCTCCCCATGCATTACTAACTTTCTAACTGAAAAATCGGTATGGATGTTATACCAGTTCTTCAAAGTCCTTCAGCTCAACTTTTCTATCAAGATCAATAATACAACTATCAGCCCTTCCCTTCATGTCAGGGTGTTAGGTGTAAATCTGGACTCTTAACTGTCCTTTCAGCCTCAAATCCAATCACTGTCCAAATATTGACAGACTTCACTTGTGTAACATTTCCAAAATGCAGTATGCCCCTTTTTAACAAATGCAACCAACAAGCTACTCTTTCACTCCTTTGTTATCTCTCACCTTGACTATCGCAACTTCCTCCCCATTGATCTACATCTACTTAGGCTATAGCATCTTCAGTCTGTCACAAATGCTGCTACCAGCATTCATGGCGGAATGCTGGCAGCATACCAATTGCTCAGTGTCAGTCACCGAACTTTGACAATCCCTCAACTAGCTTCCGATCGCCCAATGAATACATTCAATATACTATTAATAACACATAAAAAGCCATTCCCAACTCTGCCCTGAGCTGCATCAGCAATCTTGTCTCAAAATATCACTGAAAGTATCCTCTCCGCTCCTCCCAACACTTGCCCTCTAGCTCCCTTGTCTCCTCTTCCCATGCTTGCATCCATATCTTTTCCAGAGTTTCTCTTATCATTTGAACTACCCCAATCTGTTTGCTATCTCTGTCCACATTTAGGTGCTCCCTGTGAACCCATCTCTTCAGGGAAGCCTATGCTACCTCTGCCTAACATCTGAACTTCTGAATCTTCCTCAACTCATTCCCACACAGTTATTACCTATTATACCATTTTGCCCTTCTTAGAGGGGAGATCAAGTGGTAAACTGTCATGAGTAGGGCCCTCCTAATCCTCTTGCTTGGTATTTTTTGTAACTGTTCTGTCTCCCTTTATATTGTAAAGTGCTGAACACACTGCTGGTGCTCAATGAAACTTTCACATGAGAAACTGACTCCATTATCCGCCATGCCAAGACTGATATTTAAAAAAAGCAAAAGGAATTTGTATACATCATTTTGCAGTTACTGTGCATACAATCAGCCAGTGTGGTGCAAATGGATCATGACTGGTAGCTCAACTATTACTGGAAATGACTGAAACAAATGACAGTGGTGCCAGATTTAGCTTGATGTATTACTTATGTTACACAAGAGACATGACATTAGTGGTCTGTTAGATTTTGCTACCATACATAACAGCACAACTAGGCTTAGTCTATTCTACAGATATTGGGAAATGCTTTGACACAATGGTGAAACCAAAAATAAACTGTCTATACTCTTTAAACCATTGATATGAGTCAGGCTGGCCTCATTCTGCTGATGTGGAAACACAGCCAGATATTAAATTAAAAAAAAAAATAATAATAAGGTGAAGGAGAGCACACAAGAGGGAAGGTAAGGAGAGCAGAATAAACTTTAAACTCTCATGTAGAGAAAGTGATGCCTGTGTGTGTCCCTGGCAGATGTGGAGAGGAGATGAAATGGGCGAGGGAGAATTGAATATCCCCTTGCTGCAATTTCACTGAAGGGAGAGGGAGAGAGGTCTGAAAAGATCTCAACATCTGGCAATCATTTGTCAAGAGCTGGGAAGAGAAGCGGCAGGAAACTTTCTGGCTTATGAGGAAGATGAAAAGACAAAAACCATGTGTCACACACACCAGCATTGCTCCGGTACAATGACTGCTACACCCTCTATTCCACACCCCTTTCTCTGCTCCCTTTTTAACCTAACTTCATAAACTTCAACACACACTCCATGGTCACACACACACATTGTGTCACATATTTAGCAGCTGCATAACCTACACTATGCTTCTTTTATGAGGACAAGATTTAAGTATTTAACTCTTTCCTCTTCACAGAGATCTGCATCAAAATGGGTTGTGATTTTTGGTTAGACAGAGAATTGGTTGAATATGCATAATAGTCAAAAAAAGGCAATTGTACTTATTTATTGAAGGAGACGTTAGATCCTGTGGATGATGGAGTGAAAACTGCTCCTTTAGCAAACCAGCACCATAAGGGTTTGTATTTATTATAGGTTCCATGTCTCAGGAAACTGGTATGTATAAAAGCAAATACTATTCAGATTATTTTATTTATCCCTCTTCAACTGATGTTAAAGTAACCCTGGTATTGCAAAATATACAGTATGTTTTCCCATTTCTTTTTTACCTGGATAAGAAATGACATCTGTCTTTTGTATTGTATGTAGTAAAGTGGATTCTATAAGAAGCCTTCAATGCACCAGAAACTGCCTAAAGACCATCAAAGAACGCATATCAGATTATCAACAAATTAAATCAATTAATTATTGTTATCCGTAAGTTTAAAAATGCAAATCTGAGAACAGCTTGGTAGCCAACATCAGCAATCTGTTAACTAGTTCCTAACAAATTAGGCTATGTGGAAACACTTCAAGTGATGGTTCTTATTCAAATCTCAAATCAAGTACAATAAACTCATACAACCATCCCTGTAGAAGGCTTACAATTTTCAAGTATTATGCTAAAGATCAGCTACATAAAATAAGTAAAAAAAAAACTATACGAATGATATTAAAAACAATATACAGAATGTGACAATGTATTATGTTGTCTTAAGAAAGAACAGAGCTTGTTTTTTTTTTTTTTTTTTGAGTAGAATTATTGTGTAGTGAGTAAAAAATGATTCTAACTGTGATTCCACAATAGCTAGAGAGATGTTTTTTTCTGCCATGTATGCACTGAATGAAAAAGACAAAGTGGCCCTGAACACAATGCTACTAGTCTGTAGAGACCTCCATCCACTGAACAGCATCTGTGTTTGAGTGCAAGGTCGTTCCTTTGCTGTTCCAAGAAGACAGGGAGGGGAGAAAGAAAAGGGAGAGTTTTCCATCCAGCTTAACAGAAACAAGGTCTGGGAGTGACACCGTCTTTAACAGTCTTTAACACTTAGTTATAGGCCACAAATGTAACGGTTCCTTCCATTCTCTTAACGCCATTCCATTTTAAATGCCTTTTTTGGCAAAGTACCCATTAGTGTGTGTGGCCTTTTCCAGCAGCTTCTGGTCTCTTAAAATTATAGGTCCTTCTTCTTCCTGCCATAAGCGACGGTATAACTATTGTAGGGAGGAGGGAATGTGTAAACCTGTTCAGAGCATGAAGTGAACTTCTAACCTGGAACAGCACTCAGAAGAATAATGGCTGCCTAGCTGCCAGCATCCCCACACAGTCTTAACAAATGTATGTGTCTGTTTGAATGACAGATCCTTATGAAATAAACAGTAATATCACATCAATATAGATCATATATACACAGCTGACTTTTGGCCATTACATTTACCTCTCACTTGTATTTCTGTTTAACAGATATTATTATAGCCATTATACATGCTGAAAGGAACAGAATTCATTGGAGCTGGAAAAGTGACACATATTTTGACTGCACATGAGTAAGGGTATCTTAAAATGTGTTGTCTGTGGACCTAATACTTTGGCAACCTACTTCTGCTGAAATCTGTGCTAAATGTTTGCAGTTCAATGTCTTTCCTTACTAAGATGTCCTTTTATGAAACTGAGATCAGTGGCGATCCTGAGGATTGTTGCTGATCTCAGATCATTAGTGGTTAGGAAACAGAGATGATCAGTGGAGAACATGTTCTCCACCGATCATCTCAGCACACAGATGGCCAGTGTATGAAGGTGAGATGTCAGCCCTTCACTGGCGATCTGTCTGAAAATTCTCCCTCCAGATTCTCCAGCCCAGAGGTGAAAAATCGGGGGAACCGCAAACGAAGCAGAAATAATTTACCACTGCTTAGTAAACAGTGTTTGACTGATCTCTCGCAAGATTACAGTAAGAGCACCCGTTTTCTAGCATTCAAAGCGTTTGTAGATCGCTTCTCTCCTCATTAGGAGAAGCGATCTAAACCGCTTCATAAAAAGGCATTCAGAGGAGAATTGTCTCCTCTGAGAATGCCAGAGAACAGATCAGCAATCATTTCCCTGCTCCATGATAAAAGGACACCTAAGTGATCAGCACTTTGGAGTACCATAGTTAGCTCTTCTATCTGAACTAAGATTTGTCTATCTAGGTGCCTTCTAAACTGTTAAGTGACACCCCAATGGGTAACAGTTATAACAGCTTAATGAGGAATCAACTGTTTATTCCCCTATTGATGCACATTTGTGCAAATGTCCAGATGGTTGTACAACTTTTGCTTACGCCTTTGTATTGCTGCTCAGTGAGCCATGTAATAACTGTGTTTCTCAAACAGTTAAGAAGCTGGTGGTGTTCTACAGAGGTGCTCAGGATAACATCTACTATGCCTCGATAAAGGAAAAGTACCAATTTGGGCCTGTTACAGGGGCGGACTGACCATTTGGAAACTCGGGCACTGCCCGAGCGCCCGGGGTCAGTAGGGGGCCCCATGAGATGCCCCTGGTACCTTTTTCATAGGCTTGTTTGAGTTTGGGCAAGGACAAAGGGGCCCCATGATCCCACTATTGCCTGGGGGCCCCATGAGTTGTCAGTCCGCCCCTGGCCTGTTATACTAAGCTTGAAGGGATGCCACTGACAAGGGTAGCTGAAGTTCACAGTGCCTTGACAGCATACATGGACCAATGTGAACAAACCAACCTAGTACATGGAAACAAGGAATAGTGTCTGAAATGGCAAGAGCTCCTGAAAGTGCATAACAGTTCACAGCTGCCATGGGTTCTGACATTTGTGCACCATCTAAATGGAATTATGTTATGAGCATGCATAGTGCAAATAACTACAACCTTTCAGCAGCAAAGAATACCTGTGCATTTAACTACTTATTCATTATATTATATGTTCATAGCTGAACACCAGGCACCATTTAAACCCAATTATGTATTACATGAAAAATCATTAAAAGGAAAATTTACCTAAAATAGCATTGTGCTGAATATATCTTGACATCAGTCTCCTGTAATTCCCTGTTTAACAGCACAAGGCATTATCAGCATCTTTACCCAATCGGGTTCCATTTCCATGCACAGTGCTTGTCAGTCTAACATTGGATAGACATAAAGGAGGAGAAAGTCACTTATCAGATGTGTGACTACCATTGCTATGATTTCAGAGATGAAAAGGCAATGAAGTGTGTATGTAAAGCAGTGGTTCCCAACCATGTTTAATTTGTACTGCCATTGTATTTCAACTATATATTACCCTTAGCAGGCCATTTCCATAAATTGTACCCTTTTACCCCAAAAATCAAGCAGAACTGTACTGACTACTGCTCCAAACATGTCTGAAGTAGTATAGTACTGTGCTTCATAACACCTTCATAAGCATGTCCACAAATATACAGTCAGCATACCTGGGAACTTTTGAAAAAAACAGTGGGCCTGAGGATGGAGAAGGAACACAGAGTGGAGTAGTGGGCATGGCTAATAGCCAAACTGTATTTAATACACTGAAGGTGACTATCATCTGTGATGGTCAGTACTGGAGTACAGCAGTATTGCGAAGCTCTATTCCCTTTCCAATGTGTGCGACCTGCAGCCTATATTCACTGCATTCACTCTTCAGGGTGTGTGTCCTCCTCTTCCACTCTCACTTAATCTTTTGTATGTGTCTCCACCTTTTCTTTTCCATTCCCTCCCTCTTCAACCATATTTATTTACTTCAGGTACTTATATTGCGACGTCAATTTACGCAGTGCTTTACACATATCTCCTAGATTGTAAGCTTGAAAGAGCAGGGCCCTCAATCCCCTCATGTTTTGCATTGTATTGGTATTGTTCTGTCACATGTTCTGTCCCCCTTTGTAATGTACAGCGCTGAGCGAACTATCGGCGCTTTATAAATACTGTATAATAATAATAATAATAATAATATATTGTACATTCACATCAGTCCCTAACCCTCAAGGGGCGTACAATCTAAGGTCCCTAACTCACATTCATACATACACATACTAGGGCCAATTTAGACAGGAGCCAGTTAACCTACCAGCATGTCTTTGGAATGTGGGAGGAAACCGAAGTACCCAGAGGAAACCCACACAGGCACAGGGAGAACATGCAAACTCCAGGCAGGTGGTGCCGTGGCTGGAATTCGAACCAACGACCCTAGTACTGTCAGCGGAAGTGCTAACCATTTATTTCTTCTTTTCTCTCTGGGATCATCCTGCTCAGTGAATAGGCTACAGGAAAGGCAGTGTTACTTGTGTTGCCCTCTTCCTCTCAACTAGCTGTGGTATCATCAGTTGTAGTTCCGTGGCCAGGCCAGGCCACAGAGCATCATGCATTTCCATGATGCAGACAGGAAAGCTGTCAGCATACTCATAACCTATGATGTTGTCCAACCAGGTTGCCTGGGCCACACAAAATGCCAGCTATGAGTTCCAGGTTGGCAAACTAGAAACCAATGATTATCCTGCTCCTCCTCCTGCTTGCCGCTGCCTGTGCTGCCTAGTTTCCCTTGGCAATCGAGCAATAATTGCATTTAGGCACACTACTGCCTTTACAAAATTTTCTTTGCATATCTCTAAACATTCTGGCACATATCGCCTGTGGTTACATGTAACCCAGGTTGGAAACCAGTGACAGGACGCTTGCTACATGAGTAAAGCAGGAGGTATATATTTGACCTACAAGTGAGATCTCCAGATGGCAATAGTTGCCTAATTTATGTAATTTTGGTCAGCCATTCCTGTGATTTACACACCATTGCTGTACTGCATAGCCAAAGAGATCATTCTAGTGCTTCCTGTTATACCTTAGTTCTTTTATTATCCCCTCCCTGATAAATGTATTTATTTATTTCAGGTACTTATATAGCACTGTCAATTTACACAGCACTTCACACATATATATTGATCATTCACA